GCCTTGGAGGGCACCAGGACGCCCGCGATGCAGCTGGTCCCCTCCAGATACTTTTTCACTCCTTCTTTTTCAGCTATTTCTGTTACTTTTTTTGCCCCTTTCTCCAATTCTTCCAACATATCTTTATTAATGATATCTGCTTTAAAAAGTTCGGAAGCTGTTACTTGTTTTCTCAGTCCTTGGAACCATACCTCCTTTCTGTTCTTTTCTTTTTCCTCAATTAATTCCCAAATTATTTTCACAATATTTTCTAATGCTTTTGATGTGTCCTGCTTGTACCTGTTCACTAATTCCTCTTTCTTTTTTTCTGTGACATATTCTGAGCAAAGCAGGTCCCACACTGACATCTTTCTGCCCTTATACTTCCCCTTTTCCACCACCACCATTTCTGCCTTCAGTGCCTTCTCGGCGACTTCTTCCATGTGCCTATAATTCTTTTCATGCTTTACTATGGGCAGTAGAGTCAGTCCTGTTCTTGGGTCCTGTATGCACCTTGAATGCAGTTCTGCATAATTCACCTTTTCATATGTATTTGGATCCTGGAACCTTTTGCTCCCATACTTTGTATTTGACAGTAAGGTGTACGTTTTGGGGTCCAAGCACCCACGCTCATAGGCTACATCTACGGGGAGACGGTGGCCGTGTTTCGGGTCAATTACTCCCCCTGTGGCCACTTGTGCCTCCAGCATCCTCATTGCTTCCTCTTTTTCTAGCAGAGCTTTCTTCATGGCCTTGTAAAGGGAGATCCGCTCCCCTGTGTCTGGGTCGTGATAGCCACTTACAGCCTTCTCCACATCCTGGAGGTCTTCTTGTACCTCCTCACCTAGCAGACCTGCAGCCACGGCTTCATTCACAGATAGTCTCTGGTTCTGCAGAGGGTTGATGATGAAGCCCGTGGCAGCCTGAGCCTGTAGAAGCTGCATCCCAATTGGCCTGGGCATCACTTCTCTCTTCATAGCCTCATAGACACTTATTTTCTCCTTCGTCGATGGCATCAGCACCCCGGCAATGCAGCCTGTCCCTTCCACGTATCTTTTCACTGCTTCTAGTTCGCTAAGTTTTTCTGCTGCTTTTTTTCCCTTTGGAAGTCCAGCAAGGATTTTCCCATCAATGATCCCAGAGTTGAACAGCTCAGCTGCTGTCACATCCCCACGGATTCCTTTCACCTTAATTGCTTGGTTCTGTTTTTCAGTTTCCTGCATTGTATTCATGATAATTTCCAAGAGTTGCTCCAGATGCAGAGTCTTCGATTTGAACTGTCTGAGTAGATCTCTCTTTTTCTGCTGCGTGAAATACTGTGATGAAAGCAAGTCCCACATGGAAACAGTCTGATTGGCAAACTTTCCAATGGGCACTTTGGTGGTCCTGGATCGCAGCAGCTGTTTTGTGGCCTCATCTATGTAAATGTAGCTCTCTCCCTTCTGTACTATCTGCAACATATAGAGCCCAGTTTCTGACTCTTGAAAACACCTCTCCAATAGCTGCAGATATGTGAGGTTCTCATGGGTGTTGGGGTCAAAGAAGCCCTTGGTGTCGTCCGAGGGGTCAGACAGGATCTGGTTCATCTCCTCATCAAAGTAGCCACGCTGGTAGGCCACCTCCACGGGCAGGCGGTGACTGTGCACAGGGTCGATGATGCCCCCTGTAGCAATCTGAGCCTCTAAAAGGCGGATGGCATGGGATTTTAAGATGAGCCCCTTATTCATGGCTTCAAAGAGGGAAATTTGTTTATTGGTGTAGGGTTCCACATACCCAGTTACTGCCTTCTCGGCACTCAGAAGTTTCTCATATACTTCTCTTCCAATCAGTCCAGCTGATAATGCTTGCTCTACAGACATCTTCTTGTTCTGGATGGGGTCGATGATGAAGCCTGTAGCAGCCTGGGCCTCTAGCAGCACCAGGGCTGTGCCAGGCCTCAGTATGTGCCTCCGCATGGCATCATAGATGCTCAGCCTCTCCTTTGTGCCCTGGATGAGGACTCCAGCTATGAAGTTGCCCCCCTTCAAAAACTGCTTCACACCCTCCATCTCAGTTACTTCATGCACTGTTTTTTTCCCCTGGTTCAGCTCATCCAGTGTTTGCTTATCAATCAGCTGGGATCTGAACAGGTCATTGGCTGACACCTGCTTCCTGAGGCCAGGGAACGTGATCTGCCTGGCCTTCTGCTCTGTCTTCTCAATGAGGGCAGTGACATCTGTGACCACCTGGCGTAGGGCCGCAGCCCTTCCTGAGCGACCCAGGTCTACCAACTCCTTCTGCTTGTCAGCACTAACGTACTCGGAGTGGAGTAGGTCCCACAGAGACACATTTTGGCCTTTGAACCTTCCCACCTTGACAGGGACTGTCATGGCTTTCAGAGTCATGATGGTGTGGTCATCTACATCCAATGCCACACTCTGGGAAAGAGGGAGCAGCCATAGGCTCGTCTCAGAGTCCAAGATGCACCTGTCCTTTAGCTCTTGGTATGTCACCTTATCACGGGTGTTAGGGTCAAAGAAAAATTTCTTATCTACAGTGGTCTTGGCTAGAGCCTGACCTGTCTCCTCATCTAAGAAGCCAAGCCTGCAGGCAGCTGGCAGGGGTAGGTGCAGGTGGTGGAGAGGGTCTACAATTCCCCCTGTAGCCAGTTGTACCTGCAGAAGGAGAAAGCCCTTGCTCTGGGCAATGAGCCCCTTGCCCATAGCCTGCCAAACAGAGATGGTGCTGCCTGTGTAGGGATCACTATAGCCAGTTGCTACTCGCTCTACTTGAGTGAGCTGCTCACTCAGCTCTCCCCCAATCACACCAGTCTTGACCGCTTCTTCCACAGACAGCTTCTTGTTGTTCTGTGGGTCGACAAGTGAGCCTGCTGCCAGCTGGGCCTCCAGTAGCCTCAGCCCCAGGCCAGAGGGAAGCAAGTTGCTTTTCATGGCCTGGTAGATGCTTATCTTGGCCTTGGATCCTTCCACCTGGACCCCAGCAATACATCCTGTTCCCTGTAAGTACTGTTTCACCTCTGGTCTCTCGGCAACCTCTCTTGGTGACCGTGTCCCTTGAACCAGTCCCTCCAGTGTCTCCAGGTCAATTATTCCTGTGTCCAGCAGCCAGACAGCAGGGACATCCCCCCATAGGCCTGGTAGCATGATGTGGGTCTGCGCCTGCAGCTCAGCCTCTCTTACTTGCCTCAGAGCAGTAGCCATAATTTCCTGGACTGTCATCCGCCCCAGCCGGAAGTCTTCCAAGAAGGCTGCCCTGTCATCCTCAGTGAAGTGCCCAGAGCACAGCAAGTCCCAGAGGGAGATCTCCTTCTCAGTCACCAGTGTACTGTGGAAGACCTGTTGAATTTGCTCATCTGTGGAGACGGGGGCTGCTGTTTGGAGCAGAGGCAGCAGATGACAGCCAGAAGCTGCGTCCTGTTGACAGCTCTCCATAAGTTGGGCATAGCTGAGGCTCTCACTCCCATCCACTGTAGAGAACGTTTGGATGGTGGCAGGGGAGGCTCCAGAAAGGGTCCTCTCCATCTCCTCATCAATGTAACCCCGCTGGGCGGCCACTTCCATGGGGACATGGTGGTGGCCATTGGGGTCAATGATGCCCCCGGTAGCTACCTGGGCCTCTAGGAGCTGCACGGCCTGCTGAGAAGGGACCAGACCTTTCTTCATGGCCTGGAAAAGGGAAACCTTCTTGCCTGTAAAGGGGTCCGTGAAGCCTGTCACTGCCTCCTCAGCATAGTGGAGCTTCTCATGGAGCTCTGGCCCCACCAATCCCTTTCTCACAGCATCATCCACAGACAGCTTCTCGTGGGTCACAGGGTCGATGATGGAGCCAGTTGCAGCCTGGGCTTCGAGGAGAGGGAGAACCACTCCAGGTCCCAACAGTTTCTGTTTCATGGCTTCATAGAGACTCAGCCTCTGGTTAGAAGGCTGCAGGAGGACTCCCCCAATGGTACCTGAGCCATGGAGGTACCTGCGGACTGACTCTACCTTCAAGAGCTCCTCAGTGCTCACCCTCCCTTCCAGTACCTTCTCAAGGAGGTCACAATCAATGATGTGAGACTCCAGGAGCTGGTAGGCAGTGACGCAACCCCGGAGAGCGGGCAGGGTGATGCCTGCCCACTTTTTCATCTCTTCCTCTAATCTCCGCACAATCTGCTCCAGGGTTACCTTCTGCAGCCTGTAGTGGGTCAGAATCTCCCTCCTCTGTCCCTCGCTGAAGTACTCAGAGTTAATCAGGTCCCATACAGAGACCCTTTGACCTTTGAACCTGCCATACTTCACCAGCAGGAGCGAGCTCTGGAAAGCCTGGCGGGTGGCTTCATTCACCAGCTGAGGCTTCCGGCTATTAAGTGGCAAGAGGCAAAGACCAGTGGCCGGCTCTGTCACGCACTTCTCCAACAGCTGCAGGTAGGTGAGATTCTCGTGTGTATTGGGGTCAAAGAAGCCCCTGGTGTCATCCGAGGGGTCAGATAAGATCAGGTTCATTGCCCGGTCAAAGTAGCCACGCTTGTAGGCCACCTCCACAGGGACCCGGTGGCTGTGCACAGGGTCGATGATGCCACCGGTGGCAATCTGGGCCTCCAGCAAGCGGACGCCATGGTCCCTAACAATGAGGTCTTTGTTCATGGCCTGGAACAAGGAAAGCCTGTCTCCTGTGTACGGGTCCATGTAACCCGTCACTGCTCTCTCAGCTGACAGTAGCTTTTCATAAACATCAGGTCCGATGACATTGGCCCGGAGGGCATCCTCCACAGAGTATCTCTTGTTCTCTTTTGGGTCGATAACAAAACCTGTGGCTGCCTGGGCCTCCAGAAGAATGAGGGATGTCCCCGGTCTCAGGTAGCCCTTCCTTCTGGCCTCATAGATACTGATCTTCTCTTGGGAGTCGGGCAGGAGCAGGCCACTGATGCATCCTGTCCCTTGCAGGTACTTCCTGACGGAGTCAAGGCCCCCCACGTCCTGTGCTGTTGTTTGTCCCTGCTCCAGCTTCTCATACAGGTCCTGATTGATGATCTCTGACTTAAGAAGCTCCCTCGGTGTCACGTTTTCCCTCAGGCCTTCGAAGGTGACCCGGGAAGCGGCGGCAGCCTGGTCAATGGTGGCGCTGAGCTGGGATGCCAGCATCTCTGTTGAGAGTGTTCCCTCCTGGTACTGATGGGCCAGGGCAGCTCTCTGCTCTGCTGGGATGACGTCCGAGAAGAGCAGCTTCCAGAGAGACACCCTTTGTCCTTTGAGCTTCCCTGACGTAGCAACTACTGTGGCCTTCCTCAGGCCCTCCTGTGTGGCATGGTCAATGAACCAGTGTCCTTCTGAATGCCCTCTGTGATCTCCCCCCATGAGGGGCAGGAGGAGGGAGCCAGTCTCTGGATCAGTGACACAGCGGACTAACAGCTGCTCATAGGTGAGGTTCTCCTGGGTGTTGGGGTCAAAGAAGCCAGTAGGTTGGGAGAGACTGGCAAATGTCTCCTTATCTAGACAATTCCATTGGAAGGCAGTCTCCAGTGGCAGCCGGTGTTTCCTAACAGGATCAATGATGCCCCCCGTGGCCAGCTGGGCCTCTAGAAGCCGTAATGCTAGCTCCTTCTGTACCAGCCCCTTTCTCATGGCTTGAAAGAGGGGGATGAGACCCCTGCTGAAGGGATCTGGGTACCCAGTCACTGCCCGTTCTGCTACCAAGAGTTTCTCCCAGAACTCAGGCCCCACAAGTCCAGCTCTAACAGCTTCATCTAGCCCCATCTTCTTGTCACTGGTAGGGTCCATGAGGGAGCAGGTAGCAGCCTGAGCCTGGAGGAGGGCAAGTGCAGTGCCCGGGGGAAGGAGGTGCTCCATCAGGGCCTGGTAGACGCCCCTTTTCTGGCCTGTGGACAGCAAAAGGACCCCAACTACACTGCCTGTTCCCTCCAAATAACACTGCACTTCTTCCCGGGCCCTCACCTCAGGCACAAGTAGCCTCCCCTCCCTCAGGTCCTCAAACACCTCCCTGGGCAGGATGCCAGCCTCCAGAAGCTGTTCACTGCTCACCATCCCTCCCAGGGCTGGGAAGGTGATCTTGAGCGGGAGCAGGGCCAGCCCTGTGGCAGGGCTCAGCACACACCTGCTCCTAAGCTCTTGGTAGGTGAGTGGCTCCTGTGTGTTGGGGTCAGAGAAGGCCCGGGGTCCATCAGCTGTGGGATCAGACAAGCTGCGGCCTGTCTCCTCATCCAGAAGGCCCCTCTGGTAGGCAAGTTCCAGCGGGACACGACCTCCCTGTGTAGGGTCTATTATGCCCCCTGTGGCCAACTGGGCTTCCAGCCAACTCAGGCCTGAATTCCTGGCCACAACTTCTTTGTGGAGAGCCTGGAAGAGGGGCAGCTTCCCTGGCCCATAGGGGTCAGGGTAGCCAGTGAGGGCTCGCTCAGCTGTGAGCAGTTTCTCTTTCAGCTCCAGGCCTACCAGCCCCTGTCTCACAGCCTCAGCCACAGGGAGCAGGTGACCTTGAGTGGGGTCCATGAGGCCCCCAGTAGCTGCCTGAGCTTCAAGAAGAGCCAGTCCCAGCTGGGCTGGGAGAAGGCCCCGCTGCATGGCTTCGTAGAGGCTCAGGGGCTGGGCTGAGGTCTCCAAGTACACCCCAGCAATGGGACCTCTCTGCTGGGGATAGGTCTCCCCATTATGGGAAGTCATAGGAAATTCCATCCTGGGTTCGGAAGAGACAGCCTTAGGCATGGTCTTCAAGGCCCTGGGGCCTTGAAGTGTTCCAGTGCCATTGACTGAAATGGCTGAGTCTCCATTCATAGTGCTGGTGGCAGTCGAGACACGTCCCACGTCCATGTCCTTGTCCTGTGGGGTTCTCTCAAGCAGCGCTTACTTCCTAAAAAGGTGGAGAAGCAAAGAAAAGGTCTTATGACTTGAGGTGCCAACACCATGTGGCCCTGCAGAGAAGCCCTATCCAAACGTCTTCCTTTGGTCATTAGAGGAAGGGAAAAGGACCAACAGAGGTTCCTGTAGGAATTAGGGAATCTCACAAAGTCTCAGAGTTGGGAGGGACTAGAGGGCCCCTAGTCTACCCCTTTTCTGAACAGAAATCCCTTCTTCAACAGAAGTCCCCTCTGACTCTTGGTCACCCTGCCTCCACTTGGTGGCCTCCATCTAGCTCATTGCTTTTCAATAGCACTGATTGTTGGGAAAGTTTTTCTTTATGTGGAGTCAAAATATGCCTTCTTGCAGTTTCTACCCATTGCTCCTAGTTTTGACCCCCGGGACCTGGCAGAACGAGGACAATCCCTTTTGCACACGACAGTCTTTGAAGCCATTTCTCATGCACCCCCTGAGGCTTCTGTCCTATGGTCTAAGTAACCCCCTTTTCTCCTAAGTGCCCAACTGCTGGTGCTTTCCCATATAAGACCACCTTCCCTCTACTCTGTATGTCTCTTATACATACTACTTTGTGTATATGTTGTCTCCTTCATTAATATGGGAGCTCCCTGAGTACAGGGACTATTTTCTGCCTTTCTTTGAGTATCCTCAGTGCTTAGCACAGTGCCTAGCATATAGTTGATGCTTAATAAATGCATGTTGATAGACTGATTAATTGGTGTGGTCTGGTTTCTATTCTTATCCTGGTTGCCCTCTTCCAGATGTGGTATAAGAATTCATTGAATAGGGCAAAGAAGAGATGAGGCTGGAGCTAAGGAGGGGGCAGAGGCAGGATGGTCACAAAGACCCACAAAACGACCCCATCCTAGCTTTATACCTTGGTTCCACTAGGGAACCAACATGGCTAGAGTCTGAGGTGTAGGGGGAAAATGGGGACTAGATGTTGAGACGTGAGCCAAGGTAAGACTGGATATTAGCAGGTGGGTTGGGATTTCACTGGAAAATGGGGTCTAAACTAGTTAGCAGCAGCTAGGTGGCACAGTAGATAGAGCTGGGCCTGCAGTCAGAAAAACCTGAATTCAAATCTTGCCTCAGATACTTACTAGCTGGAGGTGTCACTTAACCTCTGTTTTCCTCAGTTTTCTCAATTGTAAAATGAAGATAATAGCACTGTTGTGAGAATCAAATGAGATAATAATTATAAAGTATTTAGCACAGTGCCTGGCACACAGTAAGCACTATATAAATGTTATCTATCATTATTATTATCATTATCATCATCATTATTAGTTGTGAATGGAGAATAGGGGTTTAGGCTTAGGTTGGGGTTAAGAGGGCAAAAGGGGTCTAGGCTAAAACATAGAATCTTTTTTTCATTTTTCTCTTTCTTCTTTTCCTCCCTCTTTCCTTCTCTCCCTCCTTCCCTTCCTTCCTTCTCTTCCTCCTTCCTTCCTTTCTTCCTTCCTTCTCTTCTTCCTTCCTTCCTTCCTCCCTCCTTCCCTCTGTTCCTTCCTTTCTCCCTCCTCTGTTCCTTCCTTCCTTCTCTTCCTTACTCCCTCCCTTCTTCCTTCCCTATGGAGGAGGTGGTAGTTGAAGTGGACCTTAAATGCCAGGAAGAATTTCACCAGGAAGGAAATAGTAGACAAGGCATCCTAAGCAGTACTAGAGATACATGAGTCATCTGAAGAGGTGAGGGTAAAGGTGTGGGAGTGGATAAGATTCACCAAGGGAAAGTGGAGACTTGGGACCATAATGCAAATGGATCATTGGAAGGAACTAGGGATATTTCGCCTAAAGAAGAGAAGCCTGGGGCAGTGTGAGATTATCTCTGGGGCTCTTTCCACCTCTATATTCATATGACCCTATCTATGACATGATACCTTGTCTTCAGAAAATAGAATTAGATCTGTTCTGCTTGGTCCCAGTGGGGTAGAATTTGGAGTAATGGTTAGAAACTATGGATGGGCAAATATTGATTCAACATAAACCTTTCTGCCCAATAATTGAACAGGTCGCCTCAGTAGGTAGGAACTCCCCATCACTGGAGGTCTTCCAGCCCAGGCTAAATGACTCTTTGTTGCAGATATTATACAGAAGATTCTTGGCTAGGTACAGCTTGGCCTAGATAATACATTGCACATTTTTATATAATAATACCTCCTAAGCCCATGCTCTAAAAGCATATGCATCTAGCAATACCTGTATTTAGGAGACAGAAGGGAGAAAAGCCTGAAGAGGAGATAGCACAGACAGAGATAGGAAAATGAGGAGGGAGCAGGGTCTCTGAAACTAAGGGAAGAGTTTTCCCAAAAGGGAGGAGGGGAGAGTGATGTGCTGCTGATAGGTTAAGGCTAAGAACTGAGAAGAGGCTACTGGATTTGGCAATCAGGATATAATTGGTGACCTTGGACAGAGCAGTTTCTGGAGAGTGATAGGAGCAGAGTCAGACTACAGGCAGCTGAGGAGAGAGTAGGTGGTGAGGGAGCAAGGATCAGGAGAGGCGCTTTGATGGTGGTTTTCCAGATGAGGTTTGTCATGAGGTTTCATAGTACCAGAGGAAGCAGCCCTTAGCCCACAAGCCCTGGGGCAGTCCTGCTCAAGGATGCCTTAGCTTAGTCTGGCCTCTGCCCCTCACAGATCATAGAGGCCCAGCCTCAAAAGGAGAGACCTCCTTTCCTCCTTATGGATGGGTGGGTGGTGCTAGGCATGAGGGTGCAGGGTGATTCAGCAGCAATCAAGGTAGGGGCTGGAAACTCAGTCCCATACCAATCTGTCAGTGCCTTTACGCTTTCAGTCTTTGCACATAGGCATGTCTGAGGTCTGACTTTCTGACGCTAGGTTGGGCTGGGTTGGGCTAGGCTGGGCATCTAGGGAAAGGGAGATGGAGGAGGGAGGGTAGGAAGATGGAGATTCTCTTCTACTTTCCTTTCTTTCAACTTCCCCCCCCATCCCCACCCTTTAAGGGTAGGACCCAAGGGAGGAGAGAGAAGAGGAAGAGGGAAGGGAAAGGAAAAGAGGAGGGCTACAGAAAAGGGAGCCTAGGAAAGTTGAGGGATCAGGCTAGGACCTAGCACCCAGGACCCAGCAGAGTCACCGTAGCTACCCCTTCCTCTTCCTAGCCTCTCCAAGTCTAGCTGTGTATCCCATTGCCTTCTACGGTCATGGCAGGGAAAGATCCCTGTTTCAGGCTAAGTCAATTCCCCCGCTCCCTGACCTTTGCCTAGTGTTGAGGTGGCTATGGGCAGGGAGCCCAGAGCTTGGGCGGGAAATTGAAGAAAAACAGTGCCCTCCTTCAGCCCCTGACACTACAATAACCGGCAGAGATCAATGGGCCGATAGACTTACCTGGAATGGGTGGGGCTCTGAGAAGGGAGGGAGAGGAGAAAGTTAGGTGAGCCTCCTCCTATATCCCCACCCCTCAAATTAGTTAGGGGATCAGCATCTCCTCTAACACTCTGGAGGCTCCAAAAATCCACATACAGTACATGGCCCCTGGAGTTGCCATATTGGCATCAAGGGACCTATGGGAACTAGGAGGAATTGGTGGGGGGGAGGGAACAGGGATGAATTGTAGAGAAGTTCATTTAGATTCAGTGTCAGAAAAAAAAAATTCCGAATGACAAAAGCTTATTTCCTTGAAAGGTGGTGGGTTCCCACCCCTCACTTGAGGTCTCCAAAGAAAGACTGGAAGACTTTTTAGGTAGGTAGAGAGAGCTCCTTTTCAGGTGTGGGTTTGAACTAGTTGGATTCTCTGAAGTCCTTTCCTACTCTGAGCTTCTGTGACTCACTCCCTCTGAGACTTAGTTTGCTCATCTATAAAATGGGTGTGTTGTAAGGTCTCTCTCCTTCAATCCTCTGATCATCTATGTCAGAAAGGAGGCACCTGAGGAGGGAACCAGGGAACATCCCTTGTCCTCCCTCCCCCTTCAGGCTGGCTCCTATTTGAGTGCTAAGCATTCTCTTGCCCCAGAAAACAGTGGGAACGCATTGGCAGGGCCTTCCTTGGCTCCAGCTCCACACAACTACCCTGGGAAGAGGGACTCAGGGCTATGCTTGCATCCAGGGGTAGGATGGGCTGAAGCCCCTTTAATGCCTTGCAATTCTTCAGACTCAGTGAATGTGGGAATTGAAAGGCATGTTGGAGACCCGAGTTTAGCCCCTTCATTTTCTAGAGAAGAAATGGGAGACCCCAAGAAGGGAAGAAATTGCCCAGTGAGTTGGGACAGAGCTGGAAGATCTCCAGGTCTCCTGATTCCCAATACAGGTCTCTGCATGGAGCTGATTCCATCTCCTCTCCGCTTTCCTTTCAGGATTGTGGTCTTTTTGGCCTAGAGAGGCCAGCCCAGCTATACCTACTTACTCAACAGAAACCATCTGGGCACAAGAAAGGAGAATAACAACACCTCCTCCCACCCCCAACTCCTATAAGATCATTAAGAGAAACTGGATTTGTAGGACCCCCATTCAAAATACCATACCCCTCCCCCCCTCACAGATATAAACAGATACATCTAGGCTAAGACCAGGGACCACCCCTCCCCATATCTCCCAGGCCAGGCTGAAATACCCCTACACACAGACACAAAAGTCACACCCAGGGTTGGCCCAGGGATGCCCATATACATGCTCCCCAGGCTAGACAGGGATCCCCCTACACAGAGACACAAATGTCACACCCAGGCCCAGGGATTCTCCTGCCTACACACAAACAACTTGAGTCCAAAGACACCTCACCACCCCTACCTACCCTCCCCCATCTCTCCAGATTCCTGGACTGGACCTGGGAAGGACAACTGATGAGAGGAATGAGAAGGGAGGATGGGTTATCATCATTCCAGGAGGGCCATTCAAAAGGATGCAGAACCTGGTACCCATGAGGGACCTGGTCCTTGGGCCCAGCCTGGGTGGGGTGTGTCCAGGTCCCTGATATCTGAGCCATTTTTATCATATTCCCAGGTCATAGGACACCTGCTTCTATTTCTCTGGACAGTTACTCATGAAAGAATTTCTCATAGGCAGGAGGTAGGTTCCACAAAAATATAAAGATGAACTTCCTAACCAGTAGAGCTACCCAACAATGAAATGGGCTCCCTCAATAAGGAGGAAACTCCCTGTCATTGAAAAGTTCTCAAGGAAACAGACAGATTTGGAATTGGAAGCAACCTGAGAGATCATTATAGCCAATGCTCTCATTTTACAGATAAGGAAACAGGTTAGGAGAAAGGAAATGACCTATACAAGGTGACATGAGTAGTTAAGTCACCAGGGCCTCTGAGATCAAATCCAGTATTCTTGCCACAGATCCCCCCATCCTGTCTCTCTAGTTGGAGATAATAATCACTGGTTGGTCATTTAGAGCACTTTTAAGGCTTTACAAAGTACTTTACTCACAACTCCCCTTGAGACAGGTTATTATCCTTGTTTTACAGATAAGAAAACTGAGGTTCAGGGCGGACATGTAACTTGACTAGTGTCAGAAACCCATAATTCTTTGCGCCAGGTCATAATAGACTGTGACCTCTGAGGTCCCTTTCAGTCCCTTCATTTTTATGAAGGATATGCTACATCCTGGGAATGAGATTCTAGAATTCTGCTTCACTCCTGGAAAGGAGGAGCAGACGAATGATTTCATCTCTGAGATTCCCAAGGTACTTTGCTCTCATTTCCAGGGCACAATCCCCTCATTCCTAGGACTTGTTCCTTGGGAAACAAGCCCCTCAATCCTGGGACACAGTCCCCTTATTTGTGATACACACTCCCATCGTTTCTTGAACATGTTCCCCACTGGCCAGTTATCTCTCAGGTTCCCCCAAATCATTCATGCTTTCTCCTCTGGGTAAGGTCTCAGGGGTCCTAGACCCACTTGAACCAACCCCCTCCCTGTCCGAAGTTCACAGGCTTAAGAATATGTTCCAGGGACTGCTTGGGAACCCAGACCAGGCTCCACGAGAGATTCACTTTCACTTCCTTTCTCGTTCAGTACTTTTCCAGGGCAAAGGGACGGGGGAAAAACATTAGGTGCCCCAAGCCACAGGTCTCAAATCCTTGTAGGGGACTCTAACTCGCAGCTTCACTCCGCCGGTAATTTCCCATTCCTAAAACCAGGAGCCTAGGTTCCGGGGGGAATCCCCTATGTATTTTCCAATCGAGCCCCCATTTCTTAGTCCAGGAGTATCGTCCCCGTCCTGCAAAGCCCTCATTCTTCAGCTCAGGAATCTGGGTACTTCACTTCATCACTCCCAGTTTCTTCAGCCCAAGACACTTGATTCCCCTTAACTCTCTCTTCAGTACCAGAACTCAAGAGCCGGAGCCCCACAACATTTCTTAGCTAAGGATCCCTCCCTCTGACATGACCCCATATTATGAAGCCTGGGTTCCCTGCCCTCCTGACACCCTTAGCGCACACCTGTAGCCTTGTCTGGACTTCTCCGGAGTGTCAGCTCCTCCAGCCTCTCTGGTCCCGACCAGTTTCACTTCCCACCTCCACACATTTAAACCTGGCACCTCCCAGCACCTTTCAGCCCTTCCCACCCCTAAAGCGGCCTGAGAGCTGGAGGCTCCTCCCCCTGACCAGCCCTTTCTACTCCACCCTCCCCAGCCCTGCGCCCCTTCTAGGCTTGGGGGTTCCCAGGTACCAGAGAGGTGTAGAGGGGGGCAGGGTTGAGGGGCTGGGGGCGGGAGGCTTAGGTTGGGAATGAGGTGAGAAAGCCGCACAGTGAGGAGTGAGGGTGGTGGAGGTGATTGGGAGCAAAGTGCAACTGGGAGAGGACAATAGAGTCACCTCCCCTCCCCCAATCCAGCACTGAGGCTGAAGGAGGGATGAGGACGTAGCCAGCTCTGACTCCTAACCCCACTCCCCACCCCTGGGGGTGGCGCAGCCTGACTCTCACTGAGCCATTCAGGTGTGCGTACATACAATTGCGGACGCACACCATCTCGGGCCCCCAGGGCCCAGGAGCTGCCCGCCGGTTGTGAGAGTAGCCAGGGGTGGGGCCTGTTGCTGGGACTGGGGGAAGCCAATGGGACAGGGCCCCTCCTTCCCTCCCTCGCTGCTCCTGACGCCCAACGTCAGAGGAAAGGAATGTGATGGTAGTGGGAGGGGGCCCACAGATAGGGCCAGGAAGGTAGCATCACTTGAACTAGGGTGGCTGTGGGGCTGGAGACGTTAAGTGAAGTGGGGGCCATGCTTCTCCCTCCCAAAACCTCACACTCCAGCCCTGAAATGTCCCAGATGAGTCGGGGCAAGGGCCAGTGGGGTCCTCCCCCTCCCATATGGGAAACCCTGTCCTACCCCCCTTCGGTCTGTCAGGACCCTGGGATGTAGGTGGGCTTCCCAGGACCCCAGTCCTTAAATGGCCTATGTGAGTCGGGACTGGGGCTGGCGGCACAGGGACCCTCGGTCTGCCCTGCCTTCACATACCCCACTCCACAACTGAATAGTTCCATACTATCACTGCATGTCTGTCAGGACCCTGGAGTCTGAGGGGTGGTTCTAAGTAAACTGGTCGCCTAGGACTCCAGTACTGAACAGATGAACTAGACAAGAGTGGGCCAGCTCAGGGACCCTTACCCTACTCGGTTTCCTCCAACCCCCGGCTGTGGGTAGCCTGATCCTCCCCCTCTGGCAGGTGCTGGGGTGGGGGTGGGAGTGTTGTAGCCTAGCTACAACAGAAATGGTGGGGGTAGGTCCAGCCTCCTGCCGGGGCAGTTCCTCCTCCTCCTCTGCTGGCGCCCTCGGGGGAAGGGACATTTGAATCTAGTTTACCAGGGAAATTCTGGCCGGTCTAAACTTTGCGTGGGGAAAGAGGGAAAGGGGAGGGGAGGGCAGGGAGATAAGGACAGCCACAAGAGAGTAATTAGTGTTTATATAAAACTTTATTGCTGAGGTGTGAGGGTAGCGGGAGACCTAAGCCCCTGAGGGCAGGGCTGCTGGTAGACCGGGCTCCTCTGTTGCTGTTAGCAGGGCATACACTGGAACACGTGAACGCACAGACATCCAGCCTACCTAGAGCTGGGCACGCCCGTCAGACTCCCTCAGCGCAAGGCCGCCCAGTGCCCCGCCCGATTCCCGTCCACACGCACAGCCTGAAAGTCCTGGAACTGTCCCCTGGAACATCCCCCCTGGAACTGGGGGATGGGGGGTTGGGGAGGGAGGAATAGATGTGGTCCCATCTTCTCCCCACCCCCACCACGTTACCCTCCTCAGCCCTAAAAGCCCTGGCTGTTTCTCCTCAGCAATAGACCACTAGGTTCGTCCACAGCTCAGCTATGCCTGGGCTGTGTTCTTGTGCCCTCCAGCTCCTGCTTGCTCTCCTCTGGTTCACGCTTCCTCTGTTCTGTTACCTGCTCTTTCCCCTCCAGTTCTTGCTCTGTCTGTCCTGCCACCCACCCTGTACCCTCTGGTGCTTTCTCTGTCTGTCCTGGTGCCCACTCTGTGCCCTC